TAAAATTTGTTATGAGATTTCATATAGGATTAAAATTTCTTTTTCTGTATACGTATAAATTTGTGTCTGTGTTAGTATATGCCGTGTGTGTGTGTGTGTGATATGAATGCGGGTGTACAGGTGCTTCAACACGTGTGGAAAGCAGAGGACAAGTTTTTGGGGAGTTATACACAAACACACTCTACTGCCACTTGGGAAAGATTAGGGTCTCTTAACTGCTCAAGGTTGGGGTTAGGTACTGAGGACACAGCGTTCTCATGGGCGCCTAGGCTTGTCCTTCCTACTGTGGTCCCCTCTGTGCCTGCGCCAATTGCTCTCCATTTCCTGAGCTAATTCTCCAAAAGTTTCCTGTGTCCACTCTGTGGGTCCTGGGACGCAAACCCAGGTCACCAGGCTTGGTGACAAGTGCCTTTACCTGCTGAGCTACCTCCCCAGTTCCCTTCCTGTGTTTATTTGCTATGTCTCTGCTCCATTCTCTTTATGAAACACATACGAATGAAGTTCATGCACAATAGTGTCCTGTTTTTATGTGTTCTCTCCTGAGTCCCCCCCCACCCCGGTGAAGGAGCAGGAGGGAGAGGAGTGGGCTCGTGGGAGAAGTGTTCTGGAGTCAAGCATGCAGCAGACAGGGTGTGGGCCATATGAAGAGGTGTCACAGGGACTTGAAGTTCCACTGTCCTAGAGGAGAGACTAGAGCAGCGCCGGCCAGGAGGTGACTTCCCTTCTCATGGTGTCTCTGGGATTCCTTGCCCCTGTTGCCAGCGGTCGGGTGACTCATGCTTGGGAGACTGTTGGGCTGCATGGTGGAGCATGTAGTTACAGCCTGCAGGGCAGGACTCGAGTTTAGGGAGGGGCTAGGAGGGCACCAGACCTGGTAAAGAAGAAAGACAGAGTCTGAGGATCCTGAGAGAACCGGGCCCCTCTGGTGAGGGAGAAGGGTGAAGGAAGAAGGCAGGCAAGGCACACAGGACTGGAGCCAGAGAGGAGTCCAGAGGCCCCTGGAAGGTCTTAGCGACTGGAAGCTGTGAAGGTAGAGAGAGTAGATGGGGGGAGGGAGCGACCAGAGGATGCTTCTCTCTGAGATGCGTCTTGGAAATTGGTAGCGAGGAGGCTGTTTGCCACGGGGAAGTGATGTAAAAGCTTTTAGGGTGGCAGAACATCAGCGTGTGTCCTAAGTGGGCCAGGGGGTGGGGACGGACCACACTGTGCCCTCCTAAGTGCTGGGCAGCCCATTACTTTGCTGTTCTGAGCAGATGCGTGTCTGGGTCTGTGAGCGAAGTGAATTCGCTTCTCTTGAACCTGTCTTGGTCGGGAGCAGGAGTGGAGGGCTGACTTCTTACCCAGTGTTGCTGCAAACCAGGCATTATAGTACCTGAAGGCATGGCCCTGGCTTGTGTCTGGAAGGAGCTCACTTAGGTGCCAGAGACTGGCACATCTATTTCTTCCTATGGTGTGGGCGACGGCTGGACATGCCTGGGAGTGTCTTCACACAGACCTAGAACAGACTCCATCAAGAGACTGCTGTTCTTCTTCTTACCGCAGTTAGAACAGGGTTAACATGCCTCTGGAAAAACCACCAGAATAGCTCAAGTGACCAGTTCTTCTTTTCTGTTCAGTGTTCTCAGCCTGGACACCAGGCCTTCCCGTGACTGGCCTGTGGTCAGCAGTCCTGGGGCTTCTCTTTTCGGTCGTACTTCCTATCCTCGCCCAGAGAGACTCCACTGCTCACTCATTCCGCTGCACCGGCTGGGTCAGCACAGGGGCTCATCCTGTTCTCAGAGGCTGGGGAAGGGTGGCTGACGAGGGAGAGGGTTGGCTGAGGGCCAGGGTTTGGACATCTGCAGCCCTGGCACCTGCTTCCTCTCCCCTGGGCCACCTGCCCCCACATTGGCATCTCAAGCTGCTCACTTGCGTGTCTCATTTTCAGAACCACTCAAGAAAGCCTGAATTCATGTGGGCCACGTGTGTGCATACACACATGACAGAGTGTTCGCGTATGTGTGGATGGATGTCTTGCGGTGGGGGGCGGGGCGGGGAGGCCCTGCACACAGGCCCTGCAGTTTGCTCGTCTGACTGACTGAAATTCTACTTTCATGAAGTAACTAAAACAGGAAGTGGGTTTCCAAAAATGTTCCCTTCTGACAAAATGGCAGTGGTGGAAGAGGCTCGTGGCTCTGTGGAGAGACGTGAAGTTCCAAACTGCTGACTGCTCTGGACCTCGTCACAGTCCCCAGACCTATCCTAGGAATAGTCATATTTATCTTAAGAGACTCCTATGTCTTTGGGCTTGACATTAATTAATTGTTCCTTTAGTCAAGAAAGAACAGGCGCAGGGCTTTGAGTGGTGACCCCACCTAGGCTGTTCCTGTAAGAGCAGGGATCTAGTCAGGCCTCGGCCTCCTGGGGTCTAGTCTCTGCCATGAAATCGGCTCATTTTCTCTGCTGTCAAGCACTATTCATTGAAACCTTCCCAGGATTTTCCTAAGACCAGAAGTTTTCAGAGCCCGTTTTTCCCTTAGCCAAGCTCTGCAAGCATCCTTAGAGGCCGAGGGCCTCTCTGGGAGAAAAGTGTTTTCTTAGGGCCTCTGACCTCATCATCTCCTGCACAAACCACAGCTGTGTTCACCGCGCGAAGGGCATCTCCTCCTTGCCTCGCTCAGTGGGGTCAGATGGGGCCCGAGACCTGAGGTTGACACAGTAACTGTCTCTGCTACAGGGAGGCAGGTGCACACAATCTTCCTTTTCAAGAAAAGGAGCCTTGGGGGGAAGTTCTTGTGGAGGCTGCTGAGTCGTTGCCCTGCCTGAGGCAATTTGAAGACAGCATTTCTCCTAAAGTTAGCTCCTTCCATCAGGGAAGGTCACAGCCTGTCACGGTTCTCAGTGGCTCCTGCCATGGGGTATGTCACAGCCCCGGCACAGTTCTCAGAGCAATGAGAGTACACATGAGTGAATAGCTGGCACTGTCTCTGGGACACCTCCATGCTTTCCAGCAGGGCCGCACTAGGGACTTCCAGGCACACAGTGAGTGCCCTCTGCATTACTTACTCTTAATACTTGGTTAATTGAAGGGAAGTACCCTCTTCCAGAAGACTGACAAGCCATGCACCTGGAGAGTTCAGTGAATCTCATGGGACCTGAGTGGGCTTGAAGTTTGGAATTAGACAGTTCTGATATCACCTGTGGCCCTGGTCTTCCCCAGGAAACCAGCATTAACAGGGAAAGAGACCAAGAGGTTAAGAGAAGGGAACAGGCCTAGTGTGTCCACAGTATAGCAGGCACTGGCCGTGATACATGCATGCATGTGTGTGTGGTTTCATGGGACTTCATTTGTCCTGGTTATTATTACACACTTAATAAAAACTTCATTCGAGTGTAGTCACAGTGCTGTGTAGACGCTGCTACTTGCGAGATCCAGATTCTCTCATCACAACAGAAAATCCTCGTGACTGTCATGCCTTTCTTACCAGTGGTCACAGTCTGGTCCAGGTGTTTCCAGGTTCGCGGGCAAGGAATTGAAATAAAGGTGCGGAGAGATTTTAAAGTAGCAAGGAAACTACTCAACAGAGAAGCCATAGTACAGCTCAGAAAGACATGCTCCATTAAGAGCTGCAGCAGAGACCAGATGTGGCGCCACACACACCTTTAACCCCAGCACCCAGGAGCAGAGGCAGGCGGATCTCTGTGAGTTTGATGTCATTCTAGTCTACAGAGTGAGTTCCAGGACAGCCAGGGCTACAGAGGGAGACTCTGTCTTTAAAAAGAAACAGAGAGAGCCGGGTAGTAGTGGCGTGCGCCTTTAACCCCAGCACTCAGGAGGCAGAGGCAGAGCTCAAAGTCAGCCTGGTCTACAAAGTGAGTTCCAGGACAGCCAGGACTGTTACACAGAGAAACCCCATCTCAAAAAATCAAACCAAAACAACGAGAGAGAGAGAGAGAGAGAGAGAGAGAGAGAGAGAGAGAGCAGGTCACATGAGTAAGAAGAGACTATTCAGGGCCTCAGGTTATTGAATGGGATTACTGTGATGGGTCTAGAGAAGGGAGGGCTGGTTACACTGGTTACTAAGGGCTATGCCTTGGATGGTTCTCTATTTTGATTGACATGTCTACGATACAATGTTTACTGTGCTTATCCCTTCCCATAATGCATCTGATCTGAACCATAAGCACACTCGGTTGTACATAGGCATAAGATGGTAGACAGGATTCTCTCTAAAGCTTCACTTAGAGGACTCAGTTTGTCCTATTGCTCATCCACCCCTAACCAGTTCTGGACAGAATGGCCCCTGCAATGCACCTGGTTATGAGTGGGGCCATGAACATGTTTGGTGGTTGTGTAGCCCAGCGCAGGTGGGGGTCCTAGGTCAGTAGGTGCATTGTTAGGATAGTGGTTCCTGCACATATAGTACACGCAGGTGACAGCCCTAGGCTGCCAAGGCATCGTTGGAAGATGGATGTGTGCACACCGCAAACTGAGTGAAGGCCCAGGTGCTTGCCCTCTTCACAAGAAGTTCCCAATTCATCCTCCTGCGATCCCCCGGCAGCTACTAATCTGTTTCTGGGGGTCCGCACATCCTAGGTTTTCCCATGAACAGGATTGTGCCGTTTGCAGCCTCTGTGTCTGCTTTCCTTCATGTAGCTCAGCCGTTCCAAGGTTCATTCAGGGTGGAACTCTGACTAGCGAGCGCTTCATTCCCCATCGAGGCCTATTAAGGTTTCCAAGAACTCTGAGTTTGCAATTCTCACGGGATAGGTCCGAGTCATGGTGGGGTCCCATGTTCAGTGTTTTTGAATGATCAGTCTGGCAGTTTTGTTTCAGGAGACTTGGCTGCACACGCATTAGTAGGTATGGGGTAGGCTGGGCTGCTGTAGGCCCTCTCAGGGAGCTGGGCTCTGGAGGCGGCAATAGCTCCCAGCTGCAGCTCTTCCAGAGGGTGGAGCTGGCTTCAGGCCAGGAAAGGCTGTTCTGGTGGGTAACAGTCCAGTTCCTCTGTCTCCTCCAGATGCAGGAGAAGGCCAAGGAGATCTACATGACCTTCCTGTCCAACAAGGCTTCTTCACAAGTCAACGTGGAGGGGCAGTCTCGGCTCAGTGAAAAGATTCTGGAAGAACCACACCCTCTGATGTTCCAGAAGCTCCAGGACCAGGTAATGTGACCGACCGACCTCCTTGCCCGTGCCTTGCTCTGAAAAGCTGTCTATGTTCTCTCCAGGCCTGGGAGAATTCTTCAGGAAAATGCCACATTCCCTAGGAAGTACCTCATCCCGCTACGCAGGCCAAGGTTCCCGAGCCCTGATTGGTGAAGGTTGGGGAACCCTGGGCTGTGGATCTGGACTGTGTTGATCCTGTGCTGTGTGCTGTTTGAACCACTGGGGTTCTCAGACTTTCCCACCCAGATGGGATGAGGGACTGGATCTGCCTGAGGGACACAGGTTAAAGAAATGTGGCAGCCATTGAAGGGAGGGACAGTTAGGGAAGTCTCGAAAGAGCAGCGGGGAATCTGAGGCTGTTTTTGTACAAATGTCTGAATAATGTACAAATGCTGCTGGTGGCCCAGAGCTGGAAGTGGCCTCTTGGCCATAATGACAATGGGAAAATTTTGCATTATATTCGTTCCACTTAGAACCCGAAGAGGTAAGTTTTAAAATGGACACATTAAAGAGGAAAACCGTAAGTTTTCTGGCAGAATTTCTTATGAGGAATATTCAGTAAATGTCACTAGACAAAAGGGATGCAACCTGAATTCAGACCTGGATTTATAAATGTGTCTGCACACATGTCTGCACTCTGCTGGGAAATGTGATATTCACACTGGGTCAGGGGTGTACTTCTGCCAGAAAGGCAGATTGAGGTTGAGGGACCCATGCTGAAGAAGTTACACGGAACAACTGTTGAAGATAGAGAGAGAAGAGTCCAGAAAGTAGCCGGGAACCTGGAACTTTTTTGGTTTTTTTTTTTTTTTTTTTTTTTAAATACACAAGCACCATCCTCGCTGCCTGTCCAGAGGAGGCCACTCACATAGAGGCCCCCCAACATGAATAAACCAGTCACATGAAGGGTGTGTTAAAACTGATGGTGGGTCCCACTTCCAGGGTTAACTGTTCAGAAACTGTAGATCATGCATGGTGTGGGACCACCTCCCCATGTTCCCAGGGGAAGCTGCTTTGCAGCTCTGAGGCTGCACACCATGGAGACTTCTCTCTGTGTTGGCTGAGCTTTTGCTTTTCGAGAGGGACTTTTTGATCACCTGGTACACAGTGCCTAGAGCAGTATTTCTCAACCTGTGGGTCATGACCCCTTTGGGGGGCCACATATCCTGTGTATCAGATATTTACGTTATGATTCACGACACCAGCAAAATTACAGTTATGAAGTAGCAACGAAATAAATCTGTGGCTGGGGGTCACCACAACATGAGGAACTGGATTAAAGGGCCTCAGTGTTAGGAAGGCTGAGAACCACTGGTTTAGAGGATGTCCCAGCGCCCATGAGGCTTCATCTTTGCTCATCGTCTGATAGAAAACAAAACACCCGGCAGAAACGTAAGCAGAAGTGCTTTGAGAGCAGTTTCCACCTGACACAGTGGCAGGCGTAGATTCCACGCAAATTCCGAACCGGATTTGGGTGTTGAAGGATCTCTGCCTGGGTCTCTGGAGAGGCTGATTAAAGCCAATATGGACATAAATCTGGGAGAGAGAGGAAGACAGGGAAAGGCAGTTTTTGTGACTGTAGCCGCATGGGCACACCTGCCCGTCCTGGCCCTCAGGATCTGTTAAAAGGCTCTGCCAGGTGCTTTAAAATGCATCCAGTGTTGAGAGCTTGGCCAGCTACTAGGTTTTGGATTATCTGCGGCAACAGTGCCCACTCCCGCTGAGCCGGCCCGAGAGCTGTTGTCTCACTTGGCATGGATTCTCATCCGTTCTCCAAGTGTTCTCCTCATTTTGTTGACAACAGAAGCGAGGCTCAAGGAGTTGTAGTGGCTCATTAGTTAAAGTCACTCAGATAGTAGAAGTTACTAGAAGCTGATGTTCCATCCTCCTGCGTCTCAAAACCATGGCCGCTCTGCATCCCTCGTAGCCGCCACTGTCTTCCAGTTCAAGGGCAGCTTCTCCCTGCTTGGCAGAGGCCCAGGATACCCTCGGGACAGAGGGAGTGCAGAGATCACGAGAACACAGGCAGTTGCTTTGTGGGGCTCCAGAGACCAAGGTGGGAACGAGAGGAGAGAGGTTGGTGAGATTCTACACAGCGGCCTGCACATAGTGTCAAAGATCTCCACAAGACATCTGAACTAGAGCCACCTGCTGTGACCTGCGCCCAGCCCAGGCAGGTGTCTGCTGCGGCCCTGGCTGGTGCAGAGAGGAGACACGTGACAGAAAGGGTGGTTTTTTGTTTTGTTTTGTTTTGTTTTTTGTTTTTTCTTTCCTAAAGGACAGCATAGCTGTTGTTCTGAGACATAGTTTGGCCTCAGACTCAAACTTCATTCCTCTGCCACACAAATGCCAGGGTCACAGGTGGGTGTCTCCACACCTGGCTAAATGACAAAACTTTTAAAAATATTTTTTTTTTAATCTACCCGATAGTAATAGGCACTTGGGAACTGAAATCTATTGGAGGCACACCCCCGCCCCCGCCCCCACCACGATTTCATCTGGAGATGGCCACTAAGCAACATTCCATCTTAGATGCCCGTCTTTCGTGTTCTATAAATAACACGTGCCACCACATTCGGTACCAGTGCGGTTCAAAGTCTGACTGTAAAGGAAGTGCTTTTATATCCTGTTGTGAAGCACAGTGAGAGAGAGAGAGAGAGAGAGAGAGAGAGAGAGAGAGAGTACTAGCTGTCCTAAGGTGTAGGTGGGTGGCTGAAAGAGTAGCCATCCCTTTCCTCAGTATTCCTGGAGACTGGTTACAGGAACCTTCCTGATACCCACACCCTGTGCCCAAGGTCTCCCTATCAAGCAGGGTTAGATGGTGTGTAAACCTAAACACATCTTCCCACATGGTTTAAATCCGATCCGACATGGTACCATGTCTGTAGTTACCTTCTATTTCTTAGGGAATCATGATGGGAGAGGAATGCTCGGCACACATTCAGCTGTTGTTTTCCTGTGGATGCCCAGCACTGCCTCCTTGTGCAGCATTTGCTGATTTCCTGGAGGTGGGGAGTGCTGGCGGCACCCATGTGCTTCATGTTGGGAGCCTCTGTCAGGGGCCTAGACACAAAGGGGCTCAGCATCACCTACACTCCCACAAAGCTCCTCTGAGGACCTTGATTTCTTAAATGAGGGATGTTAAGTTAGAGGGAAATGTGATGGAGACCCCAAGATTTTAAAATGTTTCTATTTATTTATTTGTTTGTTTGTTTGTTTATTTTTGGTGTGTGTGTGTGTGCATTTGTGTATGTGTTGCATGTAGAAGCCAGAAATTAATATTGAGTGTCCTCAATTGATTCCCACCTTATTTTTTGAAAGAGTCTTTTTTATTGGCATGGAGCTCACAGATTAGACTAGACTGGCCAGCCAGGAATAACCTGTCTTTGCTTTTCCAGTACTGGGATTACAGACAAGTATCACCCTGCCCAAGTTTTAGGTGGGTGTTGGGAGTCAGAACTAGGTCCTCATGCTTGTGCGCCCAGCACTTGGTTAACTGAGCCATCCCTGGTTCCAAGTTCAAGGTCTCAGCCTCAGTGGCAGCTTCAGCTTCACCAAGACCACCATGTGGCTAAGGTGGGCCTACCTGAATAGGTGGCCAACTTTTTGCTTTCAGCCACTGTTACCAGAAAAGCTTCAGGTGGTCAACCTCTCACAACGTGTCCTCATTCTGCTGCCCTCGGGGAAGATGGTGGTGCCACGTGACTTCCGTGGGAGCTGAAAGCTCAGCAAGCCATCCCAAGCTCAGATCAGATGGCCCTGAATCCCTACACCCTTACCAGAGCCTCTTAGGTCCTTTACCCAGGTCCTGCTAACCTACACCCAGGGAGCGGGCAGGCAATGATACTGAACGTTAACCACCGCACAGTGATGTGGGGCCAGGACACACGGGGGCCCATGTTCCCATACACCGCGGTATGGGCGGGCTTCCCTGTACTACAGGATGGTAACTTGATTGGTGAGCTAACGATGCTCACAAGACACCAAGCAGAAGAGCGCACTGTGCACGTCAGTGAGCATCTTAGTGGAGGCGAGAGAAGTGAAGGCTTAGCTCTTAATCTGAGAAAATCCCCTTTGGGATAAGGGGAGAGATGACTTCCGATGTAATTTATAAGTTTGGCTCATCCGTACGCCCAGTGGTGGCTGATGGGGAGAGGTGGAGGTTGTCCTGTGTGAAGCGGGAAGGAAGGTCACTTGGCTTCTTCTGTGACTGTGCTAAGAGCTATTTGTGATGCAAGGAAACCAGCTCCTGTCTGTCATCAAGGACCAAGATAAATGCTGAGAAGGAAACACAACAGCCGAGAAAGGGGCTTTGAGTGTCTGGGAGGGACTCCTGGGGGTCTCTTGGTCCCTGGAGAGGCCAGAGTCCTGAAAGGCAGCAAATGATCCTGGGGCTGTGGGTTAATCAGGGGATTTTGAAATTTAGCTTTTTTTTTCCTTTTAATCAGGTAGGTTGGTTGCACTAAGACAGTTCGATCTTGAAGGCTGGCCTGCTTGGCCCTGATGCCCAGCCCTGGCTATCCTGCCTGTCCTGGTCTGGACTAGAGAGTACAGATGACATAGTACTGAGCCACCTCTGTCACTTAGAGGGTCCACTGTGGCCTTAGCTTCATAACCATGGACCAATTATTGGTCCTTGGTCTGGTGCCGGCTCTCCTCCCCATCCCTGTCTCAGGTCATCTCTTCCTGGATGCTGGACTCAGTCACGGCCATGACCAGCACATGGTAGATTGGCTCATGGTGTGATTCCCGTCCTATCTCAGACCCTACACAGGTTCTGTGTCTTAGTGTGGCTTCTGTGTCCCCACGTGTAAAATGGAGACTGTAGGCTAACGTGCTTCTCCTCCTCCAGAAGGAACTTGTACTGCTCCTGCCAACAGACCAGCCAGAATGTCCTCATCCTTGGGTAGCACCACTGTTTATTCGAGGGACAAACACAGCAACATGACCTCCACAATGTGCCAGGTTCCTAGTCACAGCCTCAGCAGAAGAAGGAACCAAGTCTGGGCCCTTTGCTTCTCATCCTCTTCCTCCACGTCATTAGACAAGGATAGACTGGTGTTGCGAAGGGCCTCCGGGCCTCCGGGGGTTCACCCCAGCTCCCCTGTTTCTCCACACAGAACCTTGGTCTGAGCTCCCCTGCATCACCATCGCCCCTCTTTCTGGGCTGTGGTTGGCGATCAGAGCCAGGATGTACGCCATCTCTGTAAGGGTAACTGTGGACATTCCCTCCCAAAGATCAGACCCAGCCCAGAAATGAGCAGTTTCCAGGGTGGCCATGGATTTTTGTTCCAACGGAGAGCAAAGGGGTTGCACATCTGTGTGGTCTTCAGCAGGGTGGGGCATGGAGGACTTTCAGACTGACCTTACAACTTTAAGATAAGAGACTCCTTGTCATGGCAGAAGTGCCATGAATTGTCACTGAACTTTGAATTTGAGTTTCACAGACTCCGGGAAAGGCTGAGTAGCCCACATATTTATGGGGTAGCATATTTTGCCCCATGCCAAGGGTCTTTCTGACTTGATTTCTGATCTTCTTGGGGTCCTGATCCCATCCTTGGCACATTTACATGCATGTGAACTAGAAGTGATATCCAGGTCATCAAAACCTTTCTGGTGGCCCAGTCATGCTTAGGGGCAGGGTCTGCCCTCTTCGGCTTGACACTAGGTTGCTGTCTGCCAGCTACCCTCAGACCTGCTGGGTGTACCCATTCCTTCCTTAGAAGAGGGAGAGGGACTTCAATCTCACAGGGTGGGCATATCAGTTCTGTAGGTACAAGAAGAGAGAGAGAGAGAGAGAGAGAGAGAGAGAGAGAGAGAGAGAGGAAGAAGAAGAAGAAGAAGAAGAAGAAGAAGAAGAAGAAGAAGAAGAAGAAGAAGAAGGGAGAGAGGGAGAAGAAGGGAGGGAGGGAGAAGAAGGGAAGAAGAGAGAGAGACAGAGAGAGAGAGAGAGGGAGGGAGGGAGAATGCTCTAGAACAACAAATCAGCAAAATCCCATTAGCAAACTTCATGTTACATTGAAAGATTTCATTTTTTCCTCCTTATGCGGTTTGAAGTGACCTGGGAAAGAGGGGGGTTAGTATTTCCTTTAACCCTTCTCATGCACTTGATTTTGAGGTGATCAAATATTTATCAGGTCAAAATACAGTGAATGGAGGCAGCAAATTAACCTGGAACCACCGCTCTGAGGCCGAGAGCTTCTGGCGGGTTCCTCCCCTAGAACAGCATGTTGGGAACTACAAGGGTGTTTTTGTTTTTTTCCCCTCCTTGAAACTCGATCCGGGACTTGAGGAGGCATGGGGGGCATCTGGGTGATGCAGGGACGCTGTGCTCGAAGGCAAGGGGCAGGGCACAGTTGTGCAGGCGCAGGATGTAGCAGGGAATCCCAGGCAATGGGGCTGAACAGTTTATAGCGCAGGCGTGCAGATGTGGGACCTGAAGACCAGAAAGCCTCTCGCTAAGCCACATCTGTCTCGGAAAATAAAAAATTCCCGCAGCAGCCCAGCTGCCTACTCACAGTTTCTGCCTTGCCCACTGGTGACAAATCACGCTTGGGCTGTGCTCGGAGGCCACTTCCGCCTCTTCCTTCCCCTGTCTGAGTTGTCTAGAATTCTGACCACATTGTTTAGGTCCGGGTCAGCTGTGCCGGTGGGGTCGGCTTTGCTTGTCAGAGTCCTGGCTTCATAGAACCAACTAGGTTCTAGGTTCTGGGGGCCAGCTCATCTCTGCTGGGGATGAGGTTCCCTAGCACCTTGGCCTTGAACTGCTGTCTTCAGGACCGTTTCCTAGTGTTGTACTAGCTGCCGATCTCATACGCTTTCAAACAGCAAAAGCTTCTTGCACAACTAGACTAGGAGCCTGGAACCATCTGTGGGCAGGGTCTGGGCTCCTGAGAAAGGTTCTAGAAGACGAACTTGCCTTCCCCTTCCAGCTTCTGATCAGTTGCTTGTCATCCTTGGAATCTGTAGGCTGTGGCCCTGTCACCCCTGTCTCTGTCACTCTTGTCAGATGGCTTCCTCCTTTCCTTCTACTCCTGTCCGACGCCTCGTGTTGGAATCCTCACTTACAGTCCTCCAGGATGTGACTCTATCTGGAGACAGGGTAGTTAAGTTAAATAAGGTCACACGGGTGGGCCCTGATCCGAAGCGACAAGTGTTTGGTTGTTTTAAGGTGTTATGCTTATGTGTGTGACAACATGCGTGTGGAGGTCAGAGGACAACTTTGAGGAGGTTCTCTCCTCCCACGTTTATGTGAATTCTGGAAATCAAACTCTGGTTATCAGACCCTCGTGGCAAGCCTGCTCACCTGCTGAGTCATCTTGCTGGCCCTTGATGGTATTCTCTTAAGGCATACGTGGGGGACAGCCATGTGACACACAGAGAGAGGCCCTGGAAGAAGTCGGCCTGCTGGTAGCTTGACCTCAGATTCTGGCCTCTGGAACTACAAGGGAAAGTGGTTCTGTTTTGCCAGACAGAGCTGAGCAGTCCTGCCAAGCCCTAACCCTAAGTCCTGTCTTCCTCCTCTGCGAGACACAGTCCCCAGGGCATTGTCATAGTTTTGGGGAGAAGGCTCTATTGGATGTCTGGAGTGTATGGCCACAGATCTCTCAGCCATGTTGGTCCTCACTTGACGGTCTGCTGAACACGCGGGGAAACATGCGAGGCTCCGTCAAGGCCGTTTGTCCTGTGATAGGCTGTGATCTGTAGCTTGCAAAGGATTTGGAGTCAACTTCCTCATGTTCTCTGTAGCTCACAAATGAGGGGCTCCATTATGGAAACTCTTGGGGCCCAACATTCTCATGCGCATGTGAGGGGGCCTTTGTCAGTAGCCGTGGGAAGCTGGCCCGTGGATTCCCTGCAGAGCCACAGAGCTGTGAACAACCAAGAAGGTGAAGTCTTCCTGGGCCTGCTGCCCACAGCTGCTTCCTAGTCCCGCCAGCACCCAGAGGTGATGAAAGTCAGACATCCGGAAACCACAGCCTAAGGACTTCAGGTCTGACTGGGCATTTCACACCTGCCCACTGCAGGGAATGGCCCTGTGCTCTTGTTAAATCATTTGTGGCATTGCCAGCAAGATGACTCAGCAGGTAAGAGCATTTGTCCACAAATGTAAGTTTGCTACTTGGATCCTGTGGTAGAAGAAGAGAACCAATCCCTAAAAGCTGAGTCCTCTGACTTACGTCCGTGTGCGCCGTGCCCACATTCCTCCTCCCCAACCCACAATAATAAAATAAATCCCCTCAAAAAGAGTTATTTTATTATTTTACGTCTATGTATATTTTACCTGCATTTATGTCTAGGCACCACGTGCATGCCCGGTGTCCTGGTGTCCTGAGAAGTCAGAAAAGGGCATCAGATCCCCCGGGACTGGAGTTACAGAGTTACAGGGAATGGAGTAATTCCATTGTGAGTTACTATGTGGGTGCTGGGAATCGAATGTGGGTCCTCTGCAAGAGCAACAAGTGTTCTTAATTGCTAAGCCTCCTCTCCCAGAGCTGAGTGAGCAGAGGAATGCAGAGCCTCTGAGGCTCTTGGGTACTATCCCCAAGTGAAGCAGCCTTCCGGATTCGGCCTCTCACCTCCGCACACCCTGGGTGCCTCTAACACACCCCTTTCTCTTCTCTCTGAAGTGTGAGCTTCAGAGTCACAGACGGCAAACAGGATACTCCTCTCCCAGCCACAGAGACTTCAGAGGAGAGGCCCTACCCCTGCTGCCGGTGCTGGCTGGGTTTGCTAGGGACCTGGGGGAAGTGACGGGGCGGGGGGGGGGTATAGGACTGCATGCCCCGAAAGGCCTTCACAGAGCTGGTTCCCTCAGGCACACTTGGAACGTCTGTTCTGGACTCAGAGGCAGGCGGGCACCTGTTAGATCCTCTGGGGGATCCATGTACCTGAAGGGCAGAAGGATGCCCAGTGGTGAAGGGCTTTGATATCTGCTTAGCACGTTTGTGGGAAACCTAGAGAGGAGAATGAGGTTTCTTATCCCCAGCCGCCTCCCTCTGCTGTTGGTTATTTTCTTGATTTCTGGGGTGTTATATTTTCATAAAAAGTGATGTATCCAAACCTTAGCTAGTTATGCTCACTTCAAAATTACAAAATTGGCACAAAATAGGTAAACCACTGCAGAGCTTGGGTAGGAATGGAATGGTCAAGGGGTATGGCGGGCACGGGGTGGACACTATGAGCAGCGCAATGTGCCCAAAGGTTCCTGGGTGTGGACTCTGCAAAATGGGTGATTTGGTTCTCACGCAGCCCTGCTGAGAACATGAAGGTGAAAGACAAAATGTTCCCATCCCTTCCCTGGGCACCTCCCGCCTTCCAAGCGGCTGTCCCGAGGCCTCAACCCCTGCGTGTGTTGGGAGAAGGCAGGTCTAAAAGACATCAGGCTTTTACTACCCACTTGGCAACCCTGCCTGGTAGTGAGTGGCATTCTGGAACTTTCCATTCAGTCAAGTCTGAGCTTCTGTGCAGGAAAGCACCTTGGTGTGCCTTATGGCTCTTTAATCTGAAGGTAAGAGCCAGTCACACACACACACACACACACACACACACACACACACACAGAGAGAGAGAGAGAGAGAGGGTCACAGAGTCACAGAGCCTCTCTCT